TTTAGGAGTCCTGCTCAACTCCATCATAAAGATCCTCTTTTTGATAAGCACTAATGATCTATTATTCAAGCCAAAATGTTGTAGGCTTTATGGTTTTCACTTAATATTCAGACCAACTGTCTCATGACTGTGTAACACCTCATATCCCGTCAGTGTCTCCAGCTAGAGAAAAGTTGGGTATGTTTTTCTCTCTTACTTGAATTGAGAAATTCAAATAAATGTGAATCAAAAAGAGAGTTAACCCTTTTATAAAATTAGCTATTCCAGTCTGCTGGCTGACTGATTGAGAACAAACTACTTAATGAGAAACTGTGTTCCAAATTGAAAGCAAATCCATACATGGCACCTTCATCAGAAGAAAAGTAGATACAAACGTAAGACTTGTACTTTCTGTTCCCAAGGGGCCCTCCTTTGACAAGGAGAGCCACCAGAAAAAAAAAAAAGAAAAAAGGATAAACCTCTCATCATCAGCCCAAGCACAAATACGGATATGGTAGCTGAATTGAGTGGGAGAAAATAATTGGGTAGGAATTTATTTTTATAATATGGGAATGGGGGCATTTCCTATTTTTAGTTTAAGAAGAAAGACGATTCCAGTTTAATGCTGTTGTTGATTTATCCTGTTTTCTTATCTTTTGGGGATAACTTCCCAATGAGTGAGCTAAAGAGAAACTTGTACAGTTCATAAATACTGCACATTACTAAACCTCTCCCCTGTACCTTTCGAGGCCAGAATTTCCAGATAGATACCGAGGGACCCTGTGATGATGCATTGGATTAATTCACCGGCCTCTCACTTCTTTAAGTTTCTAAGAGACCAAATCTTTAAAGCTGACATATGGGAGTATGGTGATATATTACATTAATTCTGTAGCCCCTTACTTTCATTTTAGGTCCTATGCGTTTCAATGGACATTTATCTCCATCACAGCCACATCACACCAAACATTTGATTTGTCAGTTCATTTGGTCAAATACCACTCAACACAAGAAGTGTTCAGGGAGAAGAAGAATCTAGCTCAAGATCTGCAGCCGTTTTCTGAAGTTGACCCAAATGGCTTTTTTCTTCCAGTTTCTCAGAATCCTGTCTCTGTAGTTGTCTTTCCATTTGATCCATCCAGGACTTCAAAGTGATAGTTTGGGGTATTCTCTCTATCTTTTTTTTTCCCCTCACTAACAAATCTATAGCAGCATGAGTTTTCCATATTCTGTTTAATGCTAAGTATCAGGGTTTTCAGTTTATAGTCTCACTTCCTCTGATGCCATTCTTTCTGCCTAAGATTATAGTTTAAATATGTTTCCCAAGCTTTTTCGGCAGTGATGGGCCTGGAATATAAGTTTATTATGGACGAGGAACAAGCAGAGATCAGAAAATGAGCTCTGCCACTATGTTTGAAACATCCTGAAATTGACTCTAAAGCAATTAATATTTGTAGTTTGTATCTAAAAACATTTTCATGTACAGTATTTCACATCATCCTTATAGAAGAAGAGTGAAGTGAGGTGATTATCAATCTCAGCATCGATTTGCATATGAAGAAACTGAGTCTTTGGCAGGTTGACTCACTTGTCCACAGCATGCAACTTGTACAGGACAAAACTGGGAATTTAACCAGGTCTAGCGAGTGCTTATCTTTACCTGAAACCATTTCACCCTCCAGCGAAAGTTAGAAAAACTGGGGTTTCAAACACTAAGGTACAGGTTAACATCAGTGAGAACAGGCAAATTCACAGTGGCTATGATCTACTGAACCCTTCCAGCGCAGTAAAACAGGGAGTGAACATCTGCATGAAATATGCGTATCACTGGCATTAGAAAGAGGAAATATGAACTCTTCCAGAATATGTGGGCCAAACGCAATGGGTAGCGCTCTGTATAGCTGCCCTTTTGTAACACTCACACCATAATCACCTATTTAATGATTGTCTTCCCTGTAAAGCTGTAATCTCCGCAAAGGAAACTACATCAACCCTCCTGTGCATTCATACCAAGAAGGAAACTGAAGTAATTCTTCCTTTCATTCTAGATTCCAGCCAATGCCAGCTCTAGAGTTTCTAGTTCTACTGGGACTGTTCTAAAAGCCCCTATTTCATCCTATGCACAATATTGAAAAATAAGATACTTCGAACATGGATTCTCTGAATCCATTACACCCAGGCATGGAGCATGTGACATAAGTCAATATCCGCTTATTACTTTTACAATGAACACTCTGAAAAGAATCCTTTCAAAGGTAGCAAACAATTTGACTGACGTGAAATGGTAGGCTAGGGAGACCTGTGGGCATCGATAAAGAATACTTGATAGACAGGACATAATAAGGAAAATAAAGTCAGGAGTTATACAAATTAGATAGAAGAAGCTAGGCAGTGTCTGGTGAGAAACAAAGCAAAACAAAACCTAATAACAACAACGAAAACAACAAAAGCGTGAACTGTTTAGGAGGAGCTCTGCCAGGAGCAGTGCAACACATTGGAAAGAGCTCTTGAGCCAGAAGGTCAGGTTTCCCTCTATACTCGTTGTAGCTTTAGACAGTCTGTGTAAGTTCCTGTGACTTCCTCCAACGTTGTCATAAAAAAGACTCTGAGATGGCACTCACAGGCTCCTTTACAATACACGCATGTGATACGTGGAGGGGGGTATGCTGTACAACGTTGTGCAAATATAATTTTATGAGAACAGACTCTACTACAATGGTGATTTTAAATGGACTTTAAATCAGTGCTATTAAGAGAAGAAATAGCCAATTGCCTATGTCAGAGATAACATGGTAGCCATTTTTCAACTTCAGATGTGAGCTTCAGTGAGCTATCATTTCCTCACATTTATAATATGGCCAATAACTGAAATTATATCTCTAGTTTTAGCTGAAATTTCTATAATTTCAACTTTTTGTTGAACATGTTGCTGTTCTCTCCACATAAAAATGCTCAGAGAACAATTAGCTATCATCATAAGACTACATCCAGGTTCGTTTTGTTTTGTTTTGTTTAGCTATGTAGGTCTAGCCACTACTACAACGTTCAAATTAGGCTCATGCTTCCCTCTGTTAAAGAAGATAAAGAATGATTCATGTGCTTATTGCCTTCGGAAATGTTGGGTGAAAGGAAAATAAGCATTTTTGCCAGTGTAGTAATCCATACACTCAGAATAACTGCTACAGATAAATGGGCTTTGAAATGGGGAGTGATAGCCTTCCCATCATTAAGTAGGCCTGTAGGAGACCTTACCTTCAGCCTTCTCATTTAATGTAATAAGGAGTCTTTTTAAGGACTTGTCAGGGGACATAATGGCAGATGAAACATAGCTCCAACTATGTTATAGTAGGCAGATTGAAGCCATGAGTCATCCAGTATGCTGGGAGGTGGAGAGGTGTGTGCCACATTCAGGCAAGATTATCCAGACGAAATGCAGGTGAGGTTATGAGAATTGAGAATTATGGAGACCTTGCATGATGTTTTTTTACGTAGGATTCAAATAAAATAGGAGGTAAATGAAAGCCAACATAATTTCCATGTATTTTACGATGCAGCACAGTTGAGGGTGAGGAATGGAGTAGGGGATCTTTTACTTGGCCTCAGGAAACCTGGGTTACAGTTCTAGGTCTTCCAATAAATTGAAATGTGATCTTGGGAAAGGCTGACATAAATAATGTTTTGAAGGCATTTTAAATTATAACATTGTATCATTCTTGATAACTAAAAGAAACCACCATTGTTCATCTTTTGTCCAGTGTCATAGCTATTCCTGTTCTATATCTGTCTAGAAGGTCAAATGCTGAGTCTAAATTAGGGCATCTCCCAAAGACAAACAGCACGGGGCATATTCAGTATCAGCTTATTCAGGACGCACCAAAGGCATGATCTGAAGTTTTTCCTCTGACTAAGCCCTGGGTGCAGACTTTAAAACTGTTCTCTATTTTCAGGTCTCTTTATTTAATGTTTTATGGAATCTGGAAACTGTAGAGAAGAGGGAATTGCTTTTCTTTGTCAGTCAACATGACGCCATGACAACCAGTTGAGATGTGAAAGATTGTCAAATCAACAATTGTTTTGTCTACATGATGCCAAATAACAACCAGTTTGATTGATTTTTTTTTTAAGTGTATATTTCTTCAGATGTTGAAGCATGTAGATACAAGCCTTTAAATAATCATACTTTTTATTTTCTTCACGGGGAAGAAACCAATTTCAAACATATTATCTCATTTTTATTCTGATTTTCCCAACAACCTGTTAACTATCAACAGAGCAGGTATTATTGTATTTGTTTTATAAATCAAGATTACCAGTGGGATCTACATAGCATAAGCCTAACTATCCCAATTAATTTGCTCCATTTTTTTCTAAGTAGAACTGAAGGAACTACAATGTTCTGTACATCAAATAATAGTGTGTACATTTAGCCTGGCCCAAATAAAATGTTCAGTAAACAGCGTTCAATTCGAGTCTTTTATTTTCCATCATCCACAGGAGAGCCTCCACTTTCCTGCTGGATTTTTGCCCTCCCATGTATCTATTGGCATATGTTGAAGACCTTCATCATCCTGAATAGCCTGGGTGCTGGAAAAGGAGAGTGGTTTTCCATTTAGCATCCAGGTTTACCTCCTTTACTTCATAATAAAATAGTTCCCCCCTTAAATATATGAACCCCTGGTTCAGTTTCAATATACTAAGTCTACCGAAATGTCCTAATTAACACTGTAAAGATACCGAGGCTTAGGAAAGTAATTTGGTCAAGATCACTTGATGGTAAGTGTTCTAATCAAGTCATGAATCCATGTCTATATCACTCCGAAGGCTATTCTTTCAACCACTTCTTCAAATGTTTTTTTCATATTTTATGTCAAATCCCAAAACCTGGTGGTTATCCTGGAGCTTCCCATCCATTGCTCCAGTGGTTTTCTGTACCCCTAGGTAGGGTAGATACCAAATAGAAAAGGCAACTATTGCTCAACTTTAACTATTAAATTTGATCTTTTATTTTATCTTATCCCTAGATGCTGTGTTCTTAAAAGCCAAGTATTATTGAGTAGGAAAACGGTTTTCTTTATGCTTTGGGGCCCTATTAAAATAGCAAGCGCTGGCCCTGAATTCTTGAGTTGTGGATGGAGAGAACCTGCCATCTGGACCAGCCTAACCTGTGATCTATTTATTCCCTCATTCAACAGACTTTATTGAGTGTCAACTATGAACAAGATAGACTCATGGAACTTCATGGAACTTGCAACCCAGCAGATGGTTCAGATATTGATTCAGTAATAAGGAGTGTGATGCGCAGAAATGCAGGGTGCTGTCAGGGACATTTAACAGAGAGTGAACTTGGTCTGGAGCCCAGAGAAAGCTATTCACCAGAAGTGACAAGATATTTATGCTGCAACCTGAAGTGTGACTATGAGTTAGCAGGAGAACAGATTCAGGCAGCTGGAAAGACATATTCAAAGGCTGTGATGGTTCGTTTTGTGTGTCAGCTTGGCTAGATGATAGTTCTCAGGTATTCAATTAAATACTAATCTAGGTGTTGCTGTGAAGGTATTTTGTATAGGTGGCTACAGCTACTATTAGTTGATTTTAGGTAAAGGAGATTTTCATAATATGGGTAAGCCTCATAAAATCAGCTGAAAGGCCTTAAGATCAAAACTGAGGTTTCCTTGAGGAAGAAGAAATTTTATTTGTGGCCTGAAGCTTCACCTCCTGCTTTAGAGTTTCCAGCCTGCTTGATTCTACAAATTTCAGACTTTCGAACCCCACATCATTCACACACACACAGAGTACAATTGTTCTTTTTTCCTCAAAAGTGTATGTGTGTGTGTGGTGTATATACTTTCCTCATGTATATATACCAAGTGAGAGAGAGAGAGAAAGAAAGAGAGAGAGAGAGAGGAAAAAATCCTGACTAATTTAGATGTTGGTATCAGGAAAGGAAGGGGTGTCCTGCTGTGACAAATACCTTAAATACGGAAGTAGCTTTGGAATTGGGGAATGGGTAGAGAGAGAAGGATTCTAAGGCACGTGGTAGAAAAAGCCTAGATTGTCTTGACGAGACTGTTAGTGAAGGTTTGGAAGTTAAAGGTGAAGTCTCAAAAGGAAATGAGGCGCATGTTATTGAGCACTGTAGGAAAGGGGATACTTGTCATAAAGTGGCAGAGAACTTGACTGACTTGTAGTCTACAATTGTGTTGAAGGCACAATATTTAGCAAGGATATTTCCAAGTATAGGGTGGAAGATATGGCCTTTCTCCTTGATGATTTTATTAAAATGCAAGTGGCAAGAAGTCCATTGAGGAAGAAACTATTACTCAAAAAGAAGCCAACACTTGATGATTTGGAAGGTTATCAGTCTACCCAGTTTGTAAAGGATGATAAAACCAAGAAAATTGTTGAAAAAGCATGCTCTGGACAGGGACTAAGAATGTGGCCGAGCAACTTTTTGTTAAAGAGATTAGGTGTGTGACTGATGGATCCAATCAACCATCTCAACAGAAGCCAGGTATAGTGATGGAGTTACCCAGGAAGGATCTGTGGAGAATCATTTTGTCTAATGCTTGGATCACCTTGACCTATAGGGGAGGCCCCAAGGGATTTTGAGAATGTCATACCAGCAGAAACATTTCCATCTTGGACAGAAAGGAACAGAAAGGAGCAGAAGCTGGATGAAATGAAATGAATGAAGGTTGTTGTACTCCCAGAATTCTACAGGCAGGAAACAGGTTGATAGAGTTATCCAGCTGCAAACATCTGCTACAATTCAAGATAAAGGAAGAATGACAGAAGGTGAGGAAGCTACCAGTGAGGGCACAGAGGGTAAGGGAACCACCACATGTATCCTTCAAAAACACCTGCTAGCATTCCTCTCATTGGGGGTCACCATAGCCACAATCTACAAGCAACTGTCTCCGCCTGTAATTTGTGCTGCTTTTGGTTATTTATTTTTTATACAATTACTAATTCCTCTTGTTCCACCTTGTTTTGACATACTCTAGGGAAACACACTCTCTTTATATTACAGGTAGTGGGGGTTTACCAAGGTGACATAATCTGCCTAGACTCCAGTTTTCATTTTTTCAGTTCCTAAAGAAAAACCTCCCAATGATTTTCTATAATTTGACCCGTCAAATTCTGAACTCCCATTGTGTTTTTTAAGATGATAGAGAATCATAGATAGAGATAATGTTGTGTGTCTTGATTCCCACTACTTTCTATTGCTTAACGTGAAATATCTGAGTCTGGGCTCTTTTAGCTTCCCTACATGTTCCATTCTCAAGCCCATCTCTGTTCCTTTAGTCACTGGATCACCCCTGTCTTGACGCTCTCTATACCTTCCCTCACCCCTCTCTACCCATCCAATTCCTACTCATGTTTCATGGCTGCCTCGTTTTCCAAAATCTTCCCAGATGGCTCGAGCCTACCTAGCCCTTCTCTTTTACACTGCACTTAGAGTCAATACCAAAATTTTATTTTGTAATTTTTGATGTATAGCTTTTTACAAGCTTTGGTTTGTAATTTTTAATCTAATTGTTTAAGGTGTTTGACACTCATCTCTTTATTAAGGATACCACAAGCTACTTGAGAATGTTGATTATATCTTATATTTTTACAAACATCAAAACACAGGGAATAAAGCAAACAAGTGTTATAAAAGCTATCAAAATTATGATTGAGAGCTCTAAGGCAACTGAAAGCATTACTGAATCAGCAGGGAGTCTTCTTCCAAACATCACTGGCCCATCTCTGTGAACCCCAAAGTGCAATTCTCTTCAGGTATCATGATCATTCGGGATGGTGTTTACATACAACTCCCCAAGGATTCTGTAGTGAGGCCTTGACATCTATATTTTTACCAAGCCAATCAGGTATTTCCGAAAGTTGGAGGACAATCTTGTAAGAAATCTTGCTGTAAGGGTTAGTAATGAAACTAGATGTCCTGGGATGCAAGACTTGTCAAGAAGAAGAGAAAATCAGGCTGTGGCCAGACCCTTGGAGAATCCCACTCCCTGTAGGTCTTGGGCTGAAACCTTGCCTTCAAACTCTCTAACGCTTTCTAATTCTCCAATCAGCAATCCAACCTTAAACTTACTATGTTCTAGTAAGTCTTCTATACACACACTAGCTCTTTTAAATATAATAAAAATGCATGAGATAGAATCCCTTTACTCTCCCTGTGTTTCAAGTGAAGAAACTCAAGCACAGAGGGCTATGTAACCTGCCCAAGGCCATAGACTAAGTATGTAGCAGGGCTGAAAATCAAACCCAGGCCATCTGGCTCCAGAATCTGTACTTTTAATCACTATAACCACTATAAAACCACCACCGTGTTTTGCCTCACGGGCTCCACATTTTGGATTTACTACATGTTTTTCCTACCCGCTAATGTCAATAAAATAAAAAAAAGTAAGTACTCGGTATCTAGTATGCGTAAGATACCATGATAGGTACTAGGAATGCAACCTAGAATAGGACTCCATCTATCCTGGCCTTCAAGAAACCTACATTATAATGAAGAATGCAGGCAAGTAAAACAACATATGAGCAAATGTGCTGATAAGCATTATAATAGGGGCATGAACAAGATACTATTGGAGTACAAAGGAGGGGAACCTATTTTAGTCTTGGGAGCTGGAAAGATGACCCAGAGGAAAGGTCATGTGAGCCGAGATCTGAAAGAGCTCCTGTAAGCAAGCTAAGGTAATGGGCTCACAGCGCTGGCAGCGTTTAGCAGAGGGTGGCCATCGGAGAGTATTACAGTCAAAGGTAAGGGCACATACAAAACACATTAGGACATTACAGAAAGTGTAAGTAGTTCACTATAGATACAAGAAGGTACATGGTAACAGATGAATGAAAGAGGAAAGCTCTCACAAATCTTTTCTTGATTTCTCTAGTTTAACCGCTGACCTTACGAGGTCTACTCAAACTCATGATCATTCTAAATGTTCAGTGGTTCGGTTTGAAGTTTACTTGACCCACGAAATAGGATTAATTGAATCCTAGTAGCTCAGCAGAGCTCACCTTAGACTCTTTTCCTGAATTTAACATGTGCCAATTGATCAATTAGCCTAATAAATGAATAGCTCATTTCTAAGCATTTCTAGGCATGTGACTGAACATAATCTTCTCCAAACAACAAAAACATCAAAGAGGATTCAGAACTTTACGTGTAAATAAATCCAATAAAAGAAAGCTTAATCTAGTACTTGAAAACTTGAATAATTTTTGTCAGTTGTTTAAACACTTCTAATTTATAGTTAGGGACCTAAATTTTCAATCTTCATTAACAAGCACAGGGCAATAAAGATGGATCACTATATTAATAAAACAGAATTATTATGTGTTATTTATACAGGGCAGCAATTAAAATCAGACTGAGAAGATTAAGCACTCTAGCATGCTGTAATTTATGTCAAAGTAATGTCCTACTTTGAAATCAGATTCTGGCTTAAACAATGAAGTAGAACATATATTCAAAACAGCAAAGGGGGATGGGAAAATGAAAAACCAGCTTTATGTAGAATATTGAAAATCTTGTGACCAATTTAAAAGAGAGATCACTTGAGGAATATAATCTGAGACAAAGGAAGGTTAATGATGGCTCATTCTCTCCTTCTTAATCCTCCATATTTAGTCAATGTCATTTCAAAAACTGCTTTCATAAGAGCAAGTAGGGTAAAGTGTCTCAAATGTCCTCTGAGTACTCTAATGCTCTATCTGGCCCTGACACTCTGAGTCACTACCTAGAGAAACACAAAGAAAACATTTCAGTCTATTTAGAGATGTTTAGTTCATAAAGGAAGAATCTTCCACAATCAAACTGGCTTAAAAAGGAAAGCTAGTGCTAGGAACATCCTGAGCCTTACTCCTACTGCACTTATCCCTATTAAAACTATAAAGTAGCTCTTTGAAATAATTCTGAGAATAAATGAACAAGATGGATTCTTGTAATGTTTCTGAGACCTGATTTAAAAAATGCTTTAAGGCTGTAATTTTTAATCTGGGGCCCCACCAAGACGTGTGCAGCAATATACTAGGGGAAAATGATAGCCAGAGATATAAATCTGTTGCATCATCCTGGAGAACCAATTTCACTAAAGAATTTTGGAGATAAGTTTTGATTTTTTTTTTTTTTTACACTTAAGAGGTTTTGTCACACCCACATACAACCAAAATTACTTTTTGGGTGTGAGCCTAGAAAGTAGAAGTTTTCATGGGCTGCAAATGACTGTCAAGTTTTACACTTTTATGTTATGAGGAAACCCAAGATACTAGTATTACAGTTGAATTAAAGAGAATGGGTCTTCAATGGAAGACAGATTTTGGGGTTGCCCTAGTCTTCAGGATTGGTGTTTTTTTGTTTTTTGTTTTTCAGAGCTGGAATTTGCCATATTTTCCTGAGTCTTTTTTTTTTAATTACACGCACAAGTCATTGACTCACCAAAATTATCTTAATATCCTGTCACAAATGTGTTCATATATCTATATTATATATATAATATAGATATATAGATTTTCTAAACTATATGACCACCATTTTCCCATGTTGTAGAAGAATGAAAAATTCTGGAGTTTGACACGTGATCTTAGTCTCATGTTGCTTTTGCATTTTAAAAGTTTAGAGATTTAAATTTTTTTTTTTTTTTCAGTGAGGAAGGCTTGAGGTTCAAAGTCTGAAGAAAACTTCTCTGAATCTCAAGTTTTCTTATCTTTAAAATGGGGATAGTAACTGCCCTGAGATTTCACACAAATATAATGTATATGCATGTAGGTACTTTTAAATCTATAGATCACTAAATGCATGTCAAGAGATCCTGTTTCTATTGTATGATCACATTAATTGTCTCATATCACCTACCCCCACATACATCAAAATACAAAATAAACTGTACGAATACAAATGCAAAATACAAACAGTAAAATAGTTTGCGAACATATAATTAATATTTCCTAAATACCTTAATGCACAGGGCATGAAGGACTTGACCATCATTAACAGTGACCAGCACAATATCTGACACAGCAAACAGTTAAAAAAATGGAAAATATGTTGAATATCATATCTGTCCAGTTCCAGTCAGAAAATATAAGTCACCAGCTATTTTAACCATGTTGCACTGAAGAACTGAAAGTGTAGAAAACAAACATTACCGTATCAGGGAAGTAGCAATTGCAAAAGTAGCTATCTTCCAAAGGGAAGAGGTTAGTGACTTAAACTTAGGAGCTGGAGAAGAGCTCACACTCAGACCTCTAAAGATGAAGAGATGTTTGGCTGAAGCATCTCCAAGCTTAGGATAGGGGAGGGAGATCTCTTCTTCCTCCAGCTCTCCAGTCTCTCTCCGGAACCCTGTATTAGCTTAGCCCAACATAGAGCTAGCTGGGAGCTGGCAGAGCAGGAATGTTGTGAGCAGAATTCCAGCACCAGCATCACAGCCCAGAGTGTGGAAGGGCAGGTTTGTAGCTCACACAATAGCACTGCGTCCAGCTCAAACACAGGAATGGCAAACTAGATGAAAGAATATAAAGGGACGAAGGAAGAAAAGGAATGAAGGAAGGGATCATTCATTTATTCCGTGACTGATGAGGCAAAAATCTAAGCTCCCTATAGTGCTTTCTCAAATCTGTATTCCCAAGGACGAGATATAAGCTGAAATTTATGAATCATATCACATTCAAATGCACTAGGGAAGTTTGCTATTTAGAGACATTTCATGGCAAATTGTTTTGCAAGACAAATAATCACTCACTAATTTAACTGATGCATAAATCACACTTTTCATACATTTGGTTTGCTTAGCAAATTGGATCTATATTGAAAAATATGAGATTCACATTATAAAATCTCTAATACCTACTTGGCTCCCAAAGGACATCCTCAACATATAATATGCCAGATTGAGGTGGCACAATTTTAGACCTTGGAAAGATGATAAAAACTCCTGCTTCCTCACTCCCACCTGGCCCAAATTTGAAGGTGTCACAGAAGAGATTGAAGAAATTGGTAACGCTGATAAAACAAAATTTACAAGTGTGAGAAATATTAAGAGAGAAAAGGTGTGTGCGTGCATGTGTGGGTGTGTGTGTGGGGGGGGGGTGTGTGTTAAATGGAGTTGTGCTGCAGTCTTCTGGAACAGAAGGTCTGATACCTCAGAAGAAGAATGGATTGTGGGACAGCATTTAGGTTGCCTGTTTTGCCTCACTGCACACTGTCCTGGGTAGATCATTGTTTTCTCTTCCCTCATTCCCAATAAGAGTCAAAAAATTATGACACTAACCAAATACCACCATAGTTATGGCATAACAAGCACAGCTGGAATGAAGAGCAACTGATAACTAATCAAAGCAAAGTAGCAAGTCCCGAGCATTCCCTGTGTTATCTTCCACTCTCTCCAAAAATGAGGGCTGAAGAATTATACTTCAAGAGAAAATTGTTAAAGAATATAATGTGTGGGAAAAGAGAAATGGAAAATATGAATGCTCAAATAAGAGCTCTCTACCTTAGGTTGCATCCACATCTGACCCCCACATTCTAAATCTACCAGAAGGTGTGTCTGCTAGGACTTGGATTTTAGCTTTTCAACCGGATTACACATTAGCAGGCAATGTAGCTAATATTCCTGTAATACAAGAGATAACTAGCTCATTGAGAAAGGTAAAAACTACAATACAAAGATAATTCAACAATCTATTTGGAACCTAGATGTAGTACCATAAAAAATATAAGAACACTAAAGACAAAGAGAAATTTTTAAGTTGAGTATATTGCTAAAAATAAAGACAAATTAGATTGGCAACGAACACCTCAAGAGCAAGACTAAGTGCAAAAGAGACAATGGAGTGATATTTAAAAATATTTAGTGAAAAGAAACTTTGACTCTGAACATTATATCTAGGTAAATTGACATTGAAATAGATCAGTCTATAGCCAGACCTAAGAATACAAATCTTAAGGTTTGGCACACAGAACCATCTTTGAAAACAATCTTGGAAAAACATAAACAAATCTGGGGGTTTGCTAAGGGTGTGAGGTAATTTAGTAAAATCTACCATTATTTTATAAATCAATCCAAACCACACTATAGAAGTAAATGCGAACAATGTAAAATTATAAATGATAGCCACACAAAGGGAGTAGTGGAAGGTGGGCAGCCTAGAGGAAATGGTCTTATTTGGACCAAGACCTAAACATTGTCAAGCTTAGGAAGTTGAAAACAAACAAACAAAAAATAACATATTTATAAGATTTATTCTATATAACACTATAGAATGTGTAACTTCCATGATAACAAAGAACCAACAAAAGATATACAGGAAAGGAAAAAGGGAAAAATTACATATGGCAAAAGGCTTAATATGACAACAACTGAAATAAATTAAAAATTTTAATTTCACCAATTAAAAGCAGTTAGCTATCATACTGAATAATAACAGTATCCTACTACACATTACGTATAAGTGATAGATTAGAACTAAAATGGTATAGAAAGTTGAAATTAAAGTAAAAGGAACCAATATACCCCACAGGTATGAATTAAACACACATTAAGTAAGCATTTCAATATCAGAAAAGAAACAGAAAATATACATACACACACATACACACACATGCTCACAAGATAATGCAAAGTAACAGTAAAAGAAAAATGATCAAAACCTAACAACATAGCCTCAAAAGATATCAAGAGAAAAACTGACAGAACTATAATGAGAAATTGGAAATTGAGAGTGGCTTTTTTCATATTGTTTTGTTTTTATGGAGAAAAAAACCCAAGGTTCATCTTCAGAGAAATAAAATACAGGTGGATTAAAGCTTTAAATGTAGGGGGGGAAATGTAGAAAAAAAAATATGGGTGATAGGAGAAATTTCAAAATACTTCTGTGACCTTCTGATAGAAAAGGACTTTTTAAGATTAGATCCTAAAAACAAACCCACAAAATAGCAGCCACCAACAAAGATGTATTTGACTATATCAAATAAAACTTTGTACTTAATGAAAGACAACATAGATAATGTAAACAAATGAGCTATATACTTGGAGAAGATAATTGCAAAGTCTGAGAGTAAAAACATTAACATTGGGAATATAAGTGGAACTCCAGGGAAATGTCAAGAAATTTATCAAAATCCAATATAAACATGGAAAAAGAATCGGAATAGGCCAATTTCAATGCTTTCCAGAGAAAACAAATTAAAGTACATGTGAGATACAAGTCTGCATCCACTAAACTTGGCAAAAATTAGAAAAAAAAAAAAAAAAGATAATTCCAAGTGCTAGAATAAGGGCAGATAGAAAGCTTTACACACTGTGGGTAGAAATATCCTGGAAATAAATCTGATAAGATTTAATGAAAACCAAGTTAAATATCATGTATCCTAGAACTCATTAACCTCACTCCCAGGAGTACACCCCAGATAATAAAATATATAAATAGTCACTTCAGTGTCTTATTGGCAATGGTTGCCTACTGAATCAGGGTGCCATCTCTCCACCTCTTTCCTTCCCTTCAAGAATCTGTCCTGGCACTGGTAGATCTGTGTTTTTGTTATTACAATTAAATGGTAATGATCTTAAGGTCATCAGGAGGGTTAGCACAGAGTCTAGGAACAGGATCAAACCAGTCGAAAATTGGGTCATGGAGGCTTGTTTGGAGTTTGTGCCTTCTGGCATTTGACCTTAGTCTGAGGATCAAGCAGTGCCTGTAAGCAAGGCTAGAAAACTGGGTTATTATGGCTTGTTCATGAGTCCCTGATGATAAGCTCAGACAGAGAAAAACGAATCCAAAACTTAGATGAGTCTGAAAACCAAATTTCAAAGCATGTGAAGAAAAGTAATATTAAAAAGCCAATAACATTGGTAACCAAAGAAAAGGGATATGATAAAAGCTGAAAAAGAAGATTCTTCGATGAATATGCTTAGAATTTCTCAGAGACAAGATTGTTCTCCAATATTTCCTCCCCCTTTCCTGAAGAAGTATTTTAATTCTTCACTCTAATGAACTCAGATGTGGGTGATTTGCCTTTGGGGGGGAAAAAAAAGCATCTCTCTCTTTTTTTAAATCCCTCTATGAGTCTCTTGATCGAAAATTTCCTGTAATATCTATTTATCTATCTATCCATTTATTACTAAAATTATCCATTTTCTACCTACCTATCATTTACATCTATATAAATATTTGCATGCAGATACATTTCCTGTGGTTTCTCCATAATAGTCCTGTTTTTCTTTCACTAGAAACCAAATACAGTTCTATCTTATATATTATAGCTCTTTAAATATTTGTAACAAATATCATGTATCTTTGTCTTTCATTCTATCAATTAAATATCCCAACCTCATAATTTTTCCTTATGTGGCATAGATGTCAATGTCCTCACTATGATACTGACCTATTTCTCCAAATGTTTAATGTGGAAATCCTAAAGCTGAGGAATCAAACTTTACATGGTTGGGAAAAAAAAAATGTAAAACAATTATAAGCCTGGAACCACAACAAAACTCACTCTTGATACTCATTTTCCTTCATGATTATTTAAAGAAACATCACAAAAAATATGGTCCAAGCAAGATCAGAAAAAAGAAGCTGGAGTATAATGGGGAAAAAAATGTTATTCTTAGTCCAAAATCTGGATGGAAATTCCATCTCTGTGCCTCCCATGAGCGAGGTATTTGACCCTGATGAAGCTTGGTTCACTCAGCCTTCCTATGAGGATTCAAAAGACTTACTTCCATAATAATTTATGGCGTAAGGAATTATGTAAATAAACTCAATGAGTGCCACTTCAAAATGTTTGGAAATAATGATGAAATGTATTTTAAGAAAGCACTACCAAACTTTGAATCATACATTTTGACAAAATAAATATTTAAGTGCAATTCTGACAAAAGTGTGAACTATGTTCTTCCAGTTGGAGGGATTATTTTTGAAAAGACATGTCTCAGCAGCAGTCATTTTCATCTAGCTCATGTGGATTAACCCTTAAGGTGGGCCCCCCCAAAAATCTGTATTATTTTTCCATGGTTATTCTTCCCAGTTCTGATGTTTTCTGTATGATATATTTAATTGAATGGGACTCAGTGATGGGAGAGAGGCAATATTTTGTAACCGTGGTTGACAGTTTGCAATTGATGGGGAGGGTTCCTCAATAAAAGAGAAATCTGGAGCTGGAAGTCAATAAAATAAAAATGTGAGAAGCATGAAGACTTCACTTATATAAGAAAATCACTGATTTTTATTGGAACTGGAAGGAAAATTATTATTCTAGGTCTGAGAGTGTCATGTAGTATCTTGATCCATCATGGTTACCTGAAAGGGATCATTCTTTAAATTTGTATAGACATACACACCATGAATATATGCAGGAATGTAATAAAGCAGAACATAAATGAGCGTGGGCATCTTCAGAATTCTGGGAGGAAAATGCTGTTGCTCAAATATGACAACCTGTGATTGAATGTGTAAGTAACAGTCAATATTTTGCCTTTAGAAATAGGTCATTACTGGCTCATCCAGGGAAGCAGAGAAGGATTTTAGGTTGTCAAGTCAAAGAACAATCTCAAAGTCCCAGCTTCTTGAGTTAGCAGGACTTGATCACTCCCTGAAGGAGAGACACTTGACACACTGAGAGGGACACGCTCAGCCATTAGGGCGCCTCTGCAGACCCATCCTTGACTCCGCATTGGAAAGATTGGCAGCTGCTTGCCCTTTCAGCCAGGAGAGAGAGAGAAAAAAAAAAAAAAAAGTGGCTACAGCAGCCATTACAATTCTCACTGCCAGGGAAAGGGACGTAGAGAATTCGAAATGGGATAAATAGGGCTGGCACTACAACGAAGATGTAGAGTATTAATAATGCACCAGGCAACTTCCTCACGATCTCCCTAGCCTTCCATCAAAAGCAACTGAGACTAATTAAATCAAGCCAAGTATTTCAACGGACACATAAGAGGACTGGTCTAGCTATGAATTCTTTTCTCTGTTTGATACGATTAATGTTGCATTGTACTACAGAAGGCCACTTGGTAAGTGGTTAAACCATGGTACCTTTGGCATTTATGAAAGACTTTTTGCCATGTTGCAATGATGCTTTTAAGGCCTGACCACACAGTATTGAGTTTGGCTTTGATAGTGCCCTGGCAAAGGCTGGCTGGGGGAAAAGAGGGGAATATTTTTCTCCAGCATGTAGTTAGCCCTGCTAACTACACATTTGTTCAATTTCAGATCAAAGAAACCATCCTGACTTACATTCCCATATATTTCTTTTATAAATGTTTAACGAATTCTGTCAACATAAATGCTCCGTGTAGATTTTATTATTACTGTTACTTGATTACTAGTTCATAATCATATAAAAGCTCATACTTTGTATTAAAAAAATTCTTCCACGTGTCCTCTTAATATCTTACTTCCACTCCAATTTTAAAATAAATTTGCAATCTTTAGCAATTCATGTTACATAGAATGCTACCTATATTGCCACAAAATCATTGTGAAAGAACCATATGTACCTTAAGTTTTTCAAACCCGTTAGGTTTTTGGCTTTTGAGCGATGTAGGTTTTCAGCTCTTGAGCCATGGAATCATGAGGGGTAATGCAAGCATTAACAATTGAATGTGATTTCTTAACAAATGAGTTTAGAGAGTAGGGAATGCTTAATTTAAACAAATTTTAACGAATGTTATAGGAAAAGAAAAAGAGATGTCATTATAGAATGTATGTGAGTACCATTGCCACAAAGACAGACTTATATGAGATTCTATTTCTCAGCAATGCTTCCTTTCAATGACATCATTTTCAACAAGGCCTTTTAGTTTAAGTTGAACTATCTCCAAATTTGTATTTGTCGCTATGGGTCCTCTTTTTTTTCTAAACTCATTTACGAAAGCTAAGGATGGCCATCCTAATTAGTCTACAGGGTAATAACTTTTCACGCATAAGAAAACTATTCATAATTTTTAAGCCCAGATAGATGAAAAATTATTTAAATGGAAAGTGGTAAATTTAGTGTGAAAAAAACTTAGCAGAAAGAATTCCGATTAGCCAAGCTTGCATTCAAATAATTAAGAGCAAACCATTCCACACCGTGGAGTGGAAAGGTGAGATAAGAGGATGTAGCATTCTTTTTTTTTTTTTTTAAGATTTTATTTATTCATCTGAGACACGGAGATAGAGAGAGAGAGAGAAGAGAGCCTGAGCAGGGAGAGAGGCAGAGGGAGAAGGAGAAGCTGGCTCCTTGCTAAGCCAGGAGCCCTATGTGGGGCTCGATCCCACGACCCTGGGATCATGACCTGAGCTGAAGGCAGAGGCTTAACCATCTGAGCCACCCAGGCGCCCTGAGCATGTAGCATTCTTAAATATTTATCCCTCATTATACTATTCATTATTTAACACTTGCTAACACAGTACACAAGTATGTGTAATAGTACTTCTATCTCCCAGACCATAGCCATTGTTATAGCCTCAAAACAAAAAGCAGCATTCAGATTGGTTTGAAAGAGTGAACTCCAAAACATCTATGTCTGCGCATCATTGCGTGGCTCTTGTTAATGGAGGTCATGGCAGGTCATCTTCAAAGGTACTGCAGGATTCATCAGGAATGTGTCTACTTGCTGTACATTTCTAAGCATTCTCCTGGAAAATTTCTGGTTCCTGAGTGCCCCGTCTTATTTTAAATGGAAACAATATATCTGACCTAGTTTCGAGTACAGAACTTATATTCAACTAGGTTTAAGCTCCCTATCTCATCATCTGCCTCCTTGCTATGAGCTGAGACTTCTAGTAGAGCTCATTATCCAAAGGCTTCCTTCCAGGCATTAGCCCACTCAGGTAAAGTGGTCATTATTTCCCAAGGATCAGCGTTACTTTCTGAGTCTTTTTTTCAAAGCCACATTTGATTATAAGGATAGCAGTCCTAACAATTTCCCTCTCACCCATTTCTTCTTCCTGTGCAAAAGGCCATTGGTGGGACAGTCAAGGCTGAAGAGAACTTTTGTTCTTAACAATTTTAAAATCTAGGACAAATTGTCAGGAAAGTGACTCTATAAAAATTGACTAAATTTCTCATGTGTCATATGCTAAATAGAATTCCAAGACTGCCAGCATAATCAGGTTTGTTTTATTCAAATGCTTTTTGTGGGGAGGATTTGTAAGTCGAGGATAAAATTCTATTTTAAGTGTTCTGATTACACAATATTAACCATAAGGATAAGGGCTCTGTTGTATTTACAATATCACCGAAGAATTGAAAGACATTATCAACTTTTATAGAAATGTGTTTATATATGTATAGAATGCATATTTATACAAATATAAGAACTTCTCATTTTAAGGTGATCTATTGTTGTTGTTGTTGTTGTTGTTGTCATTTTGTTCAGATCATGAGCTTTGATCCAGTTTCTAAAAGTAGCTAAATTCATGCATTATATCTTCTCATCTTTGTTGGTCATCACGTTGACACTTTTAATTCCCTTCAATTGATTATCATGATTCAAGTTCATCTCTTTCCAACTTATAATTATTTCAGGAAGGATTCTGTGAACTGCCTATTTTGCCAGGGAAAAAAATTCAACTTTTGATTACTTTCTTTTATTTTTTTATGCTAGAGAGCATCTGAATCTTCCTTTAGCTTTGCTTCACTGCTTTCCAGAGCAAACTGCCAAGACCCTCCCATTATCATTCACCTCCCTAAACACTTCCATATCATTTCTCCTGTGTGTACTTTACCAGAATTACAGAACCAACCAATTTAATCTCTGATGCTTGACAGTATATTTCACAGGTTGGACTCTCTTTTATGTAATACTTATATATGTGGATTGATCAAATAAAATATTTAGAAAAGACTAGTTTTATAAGAGGAATTCTGATTATACCAATTTATACCATATAGGTCAGGCACATATTTTCATATTTATATCTCTATCTGCCTGTCCATCTATTTATCTGTCTATCTAGATAGAGACAGACAGATACATACATACATACATACACAGATACACAGATACACATGCTTTCTTAGCTTGCAGCACATTGAGTAAATTTGCCCATGTTGCAGCCATTTGCTTACCTGTCTTTAAGGTATTTTAAGCCATCGTGTGTCTTTCTGTTTTTGTAGCATAATTCCTTTTGGTTTATAGCTGAATAAATAAAACATCCCATCACTTAAACCAACTCTTAAAGTTTGCATTACCAAGATAAGGATGTGGTGAGGATGTTGTTACATAGTCAATCACGGTTTTAGTGGCAGCTAAATAATAAATATTACTGCACTCATATCCTCTCTTTCCTAATATTTTACCCTTCCTTATTTGGCAGTTACTGGCAGATAGGAGACAATTAATATATATTTGAAAAGCAACTGATTAAATTGAATACTCTCAATTGTTTAAAACATCACCTTACGTGTTCTCATCTGTGTTGAACTAAAACCTTTCATCATTTACTGGTCCACCAGTTACATTCTTGTTTAAGTTATTCTTTTTTTCCATTATAATCAACGTAACACTGGTTCTGTTTTATTTTGGTTTTGTTTTGTTTTTTTGTATTACGAATTTTTATGGCATTGTGAAACCCACTGAGAGCTCAATTAAGTAATTGAAACTGTTCTATTGTTTGGAGACTTCTACCTATCTTGTCAATTTTTGTCCAGATAAACTAGCATGTTTTTCTTTGAATATTTAGATGAAAACACCATAAATCATTTACTCATTATTATATGCATCAAACTTTATACAATCCGTAGCCATCATAACTGGTATCAAAACGAATCAGAACAGAGTGAGGAATGGTTTTTCTGCCATTTCTAGGGCATTGTTCGGCATTCCACTTTGCTATTGTCCCCATGTCTTCTTCCATCCCAGAGAAAGTTCCGTCTCCTCCTGCCTGGGGGCGCCACTGCCTCCCCAACTCCATGGAAGTACAGCACACCTCTCCTTTCTAAGGGACTTGGAATTTCAGGGCATGGTCTCTTTCTTCCTTTTACAACTTCTCCCCTTCTGGTTCTTTCTCATCCCGTTGTCACTTTTCAATACATATATTACTTAAACTTGCTTCAGTTAATTTCTCTTAGTAGCATCTGACCCTATTAACCAAATTCCTATAGTTAAAATACTTTCTTCCCTCAGTTTTCCCTGATCCTTCACTCTCCTTATCCCCCTTCTACTTTAGAGGCTACTTACCAGTTTCCTTTGTTGTTATACATTCTTAAAGGTGAGGGTTGTCCTAGATTCTATTTGGGGAACTCTTTTTTGATTCCACATTCCCATCCATGTGTTCTTTTTCAAGAACCTTCCTTCCAGTTCCAGCTCAATGTTGCTGCTTCTCCATTCTAAACGCCCAGGTCCTCCCTCTCTTCTGAGCATCAAACACATCTATCCAATTGCTTCTCAGACCTCTGACTCGAATGTCCCACAGAACTTAAAACTCTTGTCTGTATCACTTCTCTATCTCTGTGGCTCTCGTAACAAATTATCACAAATGCAATAGCCTAAAGTGACACAGATTTATTCTTTTACCATTCTGCAAGTCCTAAAATCAACATGTCAGCAAGGCTGTGTTCTTTCTGGGAGCTGTAGGAAAGAATTTATTTCCTCGCCTTTCCCAGCCTCCGGCTTTTTCTCACATCACTCCGACTTCCGCTTCTGTCGTTGTATCTCCTTCTCAGACTCTGACTTGCCTGCCTCCTTCTTCTTATGATTACATGGGGCCCATCTGTATGATGCAGGTAATCTCTTTATCTCAAGGTCCTTAATTTAATTGCCTCTGCAAAGTCCTTTTTGGCAATCAGGATGTGGACTTCTTTGGGGCCCCAGTGCTTCATCTGCCACAATCTACAACATTGAACCACTTCCCGCCGCCCCAAACTTCTTCCACCACTACTGATTCTCAGTGAATAACACTGCCATATATTCAGTACTTCAACTCAAAAACCTGCGGGGTCATCCTTGATTCTTTTCTTTAATTTACTTGCTTGCTCCATGGATTCAATTACCAGGTTCTATTGATTTTATATTCTGAATATTTTTTAAAACAATATAACTCTCTCCATCTTCGCTGTTGCTTCCAAAAATCAGGCCACCATCACTTCTTGGCCTTTTAACAACTCTCCCCGCAGGTCACCTCTCATTACCTGTTCTATGTTCTTACATGATTCTGATTCTGCCAGTTCACCACTGAAAATCCACCAATGATTCTCCATGTCCCTCAAAAGAAAAATCAAACTTAGCTTATATTATAAATTTAGTGTTTCCATCTTAAACCTTGTCTCTCGTCATCACATCCTTATTTCCCACTTCCTTACTGAACTCAAAAGTTATATGAGCTCTTTCAGCTCCATGTGATTCATGATAAAATCATTTGTTTTGTCTGGAATGCTTCCTCTCTGAGTCCTCGAATCATACTGATGCCTGCTACCTATCCTACATGCCCCATTGTTCATACTATTTACCCCGGAAGCTCTCCTCTCTGTGTTTAGCTAATTGCCACCTTGCTTTTGTTCCCAATGCTCCTGCATTTACCAATTTAGCATTGTAAGATAATTACAGGCTCCTCATCTGTCCCTCTCTTCACATCATATGCTCTGGGAAGGCAGGATCTATGTCTTCCAAGGTTTTAGTTTATTCCTGTGGCTAGCACGGTCTTGTGCAAGGGCTCACTGTGTCCTGTTGAAGAAATGGGTTTGCGATAAACTGCACAATTTCTGAGAGTCACTAACTATAACTGAAGAATTTGATACTGATCAACATTCTCTGAACCATTTAGAGCCATTTCCATGAAACATTAAACATTTAAAATTCTTATTATATGCAGAGAAAATCCAATTCAATTAATGTCTGTGAAAATCATACTAGGCACAAGGCACTGTGTAAGCTACCATCAAATGTATAAAATTCACTTAGATTCCCTGAAAGTACTAATAAGAAAAATCTGCTAGATATAAAAACAACAATGCAATATATAATAAGATGCATGCTATAAGAAAAATCCACATAGATGCACAACTACACAAAAAGGAAATGATTATCATAACATGTTAGTGCACTTAGTCAATAGTTCAGACCATAAAGACCAATGTCCTGGAGATGGAGCCCAGGATCACCATCAGGAAGATAAAGGACAAGCATAGAGAAGACAGCCCCTGAGGAGAAGAGGCTCATCCTTCCAGGAACACAGAGGGGAGATGGCCACCTTTTTTTCTGACTGTGTCATCCTGAGTCGACTCTGCATTTGGTCCTACATCTGCAGAAGTGACTGTTGATTCTTCAACCTTGTATTCACAGTGCCCGTGATGGCATGACTCTGCACTATTGCCATTCACCCAACCTAAGTTTAGAAATTACCAGTTTCAGTAATAGCTGAACCTGTTCAAATGTTAATAAAGGTTTTGTTGCATGGTAACAAACAAACAAAGCACCCTGAGGAAATAAAGAGACAGTCTATTATTCATCTTTTTTTTTAAAGCATAACATCTCACTGGGACTTGTTATATATGTATAACAGTTTTATATGGCCCCATGGGGCGCCCAGGTGGATCAGTCAGTTAAGCGTCTGCCTTCGGCTCAGGTCATGATCCCAGGGTCCTGGGATTGAGCCCTGCATCAGGCTTCCTGCTCTGTGGGGAGCCTGCTTCTCCTTCTCCTGCTCCCCCTGCTTGTGTGCTCTCACTCTCTCTCTTTCTCTCTCTCAAATAAATAAAATCTTTAAAAAATATGGTCCCATAAATCTTTGATTCCTCTTCATCAAGAAATGGGGCCGTTGTCCCTACATCTTAGATCTAGACAGCCTTGTGTCTGCTTAACCAATAGAGGACAGCAAAAGTGATACTATGTGACTTCTGAAGCTAAGTAATAAAAAGCAACAAGCTTCCTCCTAGTTCTCTTGGAATATTTACCCTCTTGACTCTAATTCTTGGGATGTTCTTTCTCAGAACCTACCTGCCATGATGTAAAAAAAATCTAAGCTACATGGAGAGTGGCCCAGCTGAGACCAGACATTTGAGTAAGAAAGTCTCCTGATTGTTCAGATGTTTGAGTCTTCCCATATGAGGCTCTAATAATCGTGGTAAGAGACAAGTAATCCCTCTGTGCCCTGTCCAAACCTGGCACACGAAATCCACGCATATGACGAAATAGCCATTGTTTTATAGTACTGACTTTGAGGTGGTTTGTTATGCAATAATAGATACGCAGAACGAAGATAGTGGATCAGAAAGTATTTAAAGAAGGAAGCTGGAAAGAAGAATGGAAAAAAAGAAGAAAGGAAGAGAAGGGAAGGAAGGAAGGAAAAAGAAGCAAGAAAGACAGAGACAGAAATACAGAGACAAGATAGAGAAACAGAAAGACACAGAGAAACAGAAAGAAGAGAGAAAAGAAGTTAATTAGAAAAGCAGGACAGGGGGGCGGAGCAAGATGGAGGAGGAGTAGGAGACCTGGATTTCGTCTCCTCTCAGGAATTCAGCTGGATAGGGATCAAACCATTCTGAACACCTACAAACCCAACAGGAGATCGAAGAAAGGAATAGCAACAACTCTCTGAACAGAAAAGCGACCACTTTCTGGAAGGTAGGACGTGCGGAGCAGTGAATCCGAGGCGATATTCGGGAGGATAGACGGCGGGGGAGGGGCCTCCGTCGGCCACTTCTGCAAGTGATAGAGCCGCGGAGCACAAAATCGGAACTTTTAAAAGTCTGCTCCGCTGAGGGACGTCACTCTGGTGGCTAAGCGGGGGGTGGAACCCTCCGGGACAGTGTGGTCTCAGGACCCTCGGGGTCACAGAAAGACCGGGGGTGCCTGAGTGCGGCAGAGCTCCCAGGTATCGGAGCAGGGAAGCCGGCTGCAGAGGCGGAGCCCAGGCGCGGGCTCTCAGCTCGGGGTGGCCATAAACCGTGATCCGCGGCACAGTCGGGCCCCTGCTCCTCCAGCAGGGACCCAACAAGCGGCAGATCCGGGGAGACTCACCTTCCTCCCCCGGGAGGAGCCGCGCGGGAGTGCACCGCAGGGATCTGCTGGGTTTGGAGACTCCACCCGGGTCGGGTGCCAGAGATAGAAACGCGCGGTCACAGGCCGGGCGAGCACGGAGTGCGGCTGGAGACCGGGGAGCCGGGAGGGACTGGCGGCTTTTCTCTGGGGGCGCACTGAGGAGCGGGGCCGAATTCTCGGCTCCTCTGGGGCAGAGATTGGGAGGCCGCCATTTTCACTCTCCGCCTCCAAAGCTGAACGGAAAGCTCGCAGGGAACAAAAGCCCCGGAGAGCAAACCCGAGCAGATTCCTTAGCCGGGAGGGGGCAAGGGCGGGGCAATTCCGCCTCCGGCAGAGACATTTGGAAACCACGGCAACAGGCCCCTCCCCAGAAGATCAGCGAGAACAGCCGGCCAAGACCAAGTTTACCGATCAATGAGAACGGCAGAACTCCAGCGCTAGGGGAATACTGCACATAGAATTCACGGCTTTTTTACCATGATTCTTTAGTCTTTTAAAGTTAATTTTTTTTAACTGTCTTTTTTGTCTTTTTATTTCTTTTTCTCTTTTTCAACCAACATCTTATCAATCCCTTTTTTTTAAAAAAAAACATTTTTATTTTTCATTTTTAGAGTCATATTCTATCCCTTCATAGTAGTTACCCATATTTTTGGCTTATATATATAAGTTGTTCTCTCTTTAAAATTTTGAGAGAGTTTCTTCTAACAGATTAAAATATACCCTAAATCTCTAGTATATGGTGTTTTCTATTCCTCTGCCTGATCACATCCTCTCCCTTTTTTTTCTTTTTCTTTTTTCTTTTTTTTAAATCCTCTTCTTTCTTTTTTCAAACAACTTCTTATCATTCCTTTCATAAAATTTTTTATAATTTCCATTTTTACAGTCATATTCCATCCCTTCATCATATCAACCCTTATTTTTGTACATATATAAGTTTTTCTTTCTTTAAAATTTTGGAAGGCACTTTCTTCTAAAAGACCAAAATACACCCCAAATCTAGTGTGTGGCACTGATCTATATACCAGCCTGATCATATTTGATCACATTCTAGTTTTTTTGTTGTTGTTGTTGTTTTGTTTTGTTTGTTTTTGTTTTTATCTTTATCTTTATCTTTTTCTTTTTTTTTCTTTTTCTTTTTTCTCTCTTTCCCTTTCTTATCCCACTGCTTCAGGTCTTTTCTGATTTGTTTAGAGTATATTTTCTGGGGACGTGGTTACTCTGCTAGCATTTTGTTCTCTCATTAATCTATTCTCCTCGCACAAAATGACAAGACGGAAAAAATCACCTCAACAAAAAGAACAAGAGGTAGTACCGACTGCCAGGGACCTACTCAATACGGACATTAGTACGATGTCAGATCTAGAGTTCAGAATCATCACTTTAAAGATACTAGCTGGGCTTGAAAAAAATATGGAAATTATTAGAGAAACCCTTTCTGGAGAAGTAAAAGAGCTAAAATCCAACCAAGTAGAAATCAAAAAGGCTATTAATGAGGTGCAATCAAAAATGGGGGTGCTAAGTGCTAGAATAAATGAGGCAGAAGAGAGAATCAGTAATATAGAAGATGAAATGATGGAAAATAAAGAAGCTGAGAAAAAGAGAGATAAACAACTACTGGATCACGAGGGCAGAATTCTAGAGATAAGCGATACCATAAGACGAAACAACATTCGAATAATTGGGATCCCAGAAGAAGAAGAGAGAGAGAGAGGGGCAGAAGGTATAATGGAGCAAATTATAGCAGAGAACTTCCCTAATTTGGGGAAAGAAACAGGCATGAAAATCCAGGAAGCACAGAGAACCCCTCTCAAAATCAATAAAAATAGGTCAACACCCAGACATCTAATAGTAAAACTTACGAGTCTCATAGACAAAGAGAAAATCCTGAAAGCAGCTCAGGAGAAGAGATGTAACCTACAAGGGTAGAAACATTAGATTGGCAACAGACCTATCCACAGAGACCTGTCAGGCCAGAAAGGACTGGCAGGATATATTCAGAGCACTAAATGAGAAAAATATGCAGCCAAGAATACTCTATCCAGCTAGGCTGTCATTGAAAATTGAAGGAGAGATAAAAAGCTTCCAGGACAAACAAAAACTAAAGGAATTTGTAAACACAAAACCAGCCCTACAGGAAGTCTTGAAAGGGGTCCTCTAAGCAAAGAGAGAGCCTAAAAGCAACATAGACCAGAAAGGAACACAGACAATATACGGTAACAGTCACCTTACAGGCAATACAATGGCACTAAATTCCTATCTTTCAATAGTTACCCTGAATGTAAATGGGCTAAATGCCCCAATCAAAAGACACAGGCTAACAGACTGGATTAAAAAACAAGACCCATCGATATGCTGTCTGCAAGACACTCATTTTAGAACCAAAGACACCCCCAGATTGAAAGTGAGGGGGTGGAAAACCATTTACCATGCTAATGGACATCAAAAGAAAGCTGGGGTGGCAATCCTTATATCAGACAAATTAGATTTTAAACCAAAGACTGTAATAAGAGATGAGGAAGGACACTATATCATACTCAAAGGATCTATCCAATAAGAAGATCTAACAATTGTAAATATCTGTGCCCCTAACATGGGAGCAGCCAATTATATAAGGCAATTAATAACAAAAGCAAAGAAACACATCGACAACAATACAATAATAGTGGGGGACTTTAACATCCCCCTCACTGAAATGGACAGATCGTCTAAGCAAAAGATCAACAAGGAAATAAAGACTTTAAATGACACACTGGACCAAATGGACTTCACAGATCTACTCAGAACATTCCACCCCAAAGCAACGGAATACACATTCTTCTCCAGTGCCCATGGAACATTCTCCAGAATAGATCACATCCTAGGTCATAAATCAGGTCTCACCCAGTACCAAAAGTTTGAGATCATTCCCTGCCTATTGTCAGACCACAATGCTTTGAAACTAGAACTCAATCACAAGAGGAAAGTCGGAAAGAACTCAAATACATGGAGGCTAAAGAGCATCCTACTGAGGAATGAATGGGTCAACCAGGAAATTAAAGAAGAATTAAAAAAATACATGGAAACCAATGAAAATGAAAACACAACTGTTCAAAATCTTTGGGATGCAGCAAAAGCAGTCCTAAGAGGAAAGTATATAACAATACAAGCCTTTCTCAAGAAACAAGAAAGGTCTCAAGTACACAACCTAACCCTACACCTAAAGGAGCTGGAGAAAGAACAGCAAATAAAGCCTAAACCCAGGAGGAGAAGAGAAATAATAAAGATCAGAGCAGAAATCAATGAAATAGAAACTAAAAGAACAGTAGAACAGATCAACGAAACTAGGAGCTGGTTCTTTGAAAGAATTAACAAGATTGATAAACCCCTGGCCAGACTTATCAAAAAGAAAAGAGAAAGGATCCAAATCAACAAAATCATGAATGAAAGAGGAGAGATCACAACCAACACCAAAGAAATACAAACAATTATAAGAACATATTATGAGCAACTCTATGCCAGCAAATTAGATAACCTGGAAGAGATAGATGCATTCCTAGAGATGTATCAACTACCAAAACTGAACCAGGATGAAATAGAAAACCTGAACAGACCTATAACCACTAAGGAAATTGAAGCAGTCATCAAAAATCTCCCAAAAAACAAAAGCCCAGGGCCAGATGGCTTCCCAGGGGAATTCTACCAAACATTTCAAGAAGAATTAATACCTATTCTTCTGAAACTGTTCCAAAAAATAGAAACGGAAGGAAAACTTCCAAACTCATTTTATGAGGCCAGCATTACCTTGTTCCCAAAACCAGACAAAGACCCCATCAAAAATGAGAATTACAGACCAATATCCCTGATGAACATGGATACAAAAATTCTCACCAAAATACTAGCCAATAGGATCCAACAGTACATTAAAAGGATTATCCACCATGACCAAGTGGGATTTATCCCTGGGCTGCAAGTTTGGTTCAACATCCGCAAATCAATCAATGTGATACAATACATTAACAAAAGAAAGAACAAGAATCATATGATCCTCTCAATAGATGCAGAAAAAGCTTTTGACAAAGTACAGCATCCTTTCTTGATCAAAACTCTTCAGAGTATAGGGATAGAGGGTACATACCTCAATATCATAAAAGCCATCTATGAAAAACCTACAGCGAATATCATTCTCAATGGGGAAAAACTGAGAGCTTTCCCCCTAAGGTCAGGAACATGGCAGGGATGTCCACTATCACCACTGCTATTCAACATAGTATTGGAAGTCCTAGCCACAGCAATCAGACAACAAAAAGAAATCAAAGGCATCCAAATCGGCAAAGAAGTCAAACTCTCACTCTTTGCAGATGATATGATACTTTATGTGGAAAACCCCAAAGACTCCACCCCAAAACTGCTAGAACTCATACAGGAATTCAGTCAAGTGGCAGGATATAAAATCAATGCACAGAAGTCAGTGGCATTCCTATACACAAACAACAAGACAGAAGAAAGAGAAATTAAGGACTCGATCCCATTTACAATTGCACCCAAAACCATAAGATACCTAGGAATAAATCTAACCAAAGAGACAAAGGATCTGTACTCAGAAAACTATAAAATACTCATGAAAGAAATTGAGGAAGACACAAAGAAATGGAAAAACGTCCCATGCTCATGGATTGGAAGAACAAATATTGTGAAGATGTCAATGCTACCTAGAGCAATCTACACATTCAATGCAATCCCCATCAAAATACCATCCACTTTTTTCAAAGAAATGGAACAAATCATCCTAAAATTTGTATGGAACCAGAAAAGACCCCGCATAGCCAGAGGAATGTTGAAAAAGAAAAGCAAAGCCGGCGGCATCACAATTCCAGACTTCAAGCTCTATTACAAAGCTGTCATCATCAAGACAGCATGGTACTGGCACAAAAACAGACACATGGATCAATGGAACAGAATAGAGAGCCCAGAAATGGACCCTCAACTCTATGGTCAACTAATCTTCGACAAAGCAGGAAAGAATGTCCAATGGAACAAAGACAGTCTCTTCAACAAATGGTGTTGGGAAAATTGGATAGCCACATGCAGAAGAATGAAACTGGACCATTTCCTTACAGCACACACAAAAATAGACTCCAAATGGTTGAAAGACCTCAATGTGAGACAGGAGTCCATCAAAATCCTAAAGGAGAACACAGGCAGCAACCTCTTTGACCTCAGCCGAAGCAACTTCTTCCTAGAAACATCACCAAGGGCAAGGGAAGCAAGGGCAAAAATGAACTATTGGGACTTCATCAAGATAAAAAGCTTTTGCAAAGCAAAGGAAACAGTCAACAAAACCAAAAGACAACCGACAGAATGGGAGAAGATATTTGCAAATGACATATCAGATAAAGGGCTAGTATCCAAAATCTATAAAGAACTCATCAAACTCAACACCCAAAGAACAAAGAATCCAATCAAGAAATGGGCAGAAGACATGAACAGACATTTTTCCAAAGAAGACATCCAAATGGCCAACAGACACATGAAAAAGTGCTCAATATCACTCAGCATCAGGGAAATCCAAATCAAAACCTCAATGAGATACCACCTCACACCAGTCAGAATGGCTAAAATTAACAAGTCAGGAAACGACAGCTGTTGGCGGGGATGCGGAGAAAGGGGAACCCTCCTACACTGTTGGTGGGAATGCAAGCTGGTGCAGCCACTCTGGAAAACTGTATGGAGGTTCCTCAAAAAGTTGAAAATAGAGCTATCATATGATCCAGCAATTGCACTACTGGGTATTTACCCCAAAGATACAAAAGTAGGGATCCGAAGGGGTACGTGCACCCCGATGTTTATAGCAGCAATGTCCACTATAGCCAAACTGTGGAAAGAGCCAAGATGTCCATTGACAGATGAATGGATAAAGAAGATGTGGTATATATATACAATGGAATATTATGCAGCCATCAAAAGGAATGAGATCTTGCCATTTGCAACGACGTGGATGGAACTGGAGGGTATTATGTTGAGTGAAATAAGTCAAACAGAGAAAGACATGTATCATATGATCTCACTGATATGAGGAATTCTTAATCGCAGGAAACAAACTGAGTGTTGTTGGAGTGGAGGGTGGGGTGGGAGGGATGGGGTGACTGGGTGATAGACACTGGGGAGGGTATGTGCTCTGGTAAGCGCTGTGAATTGTGCAAGACTGTTGAATCTCAGATCTGTACCTCTGAAACAAATAATGCAATATATGTTAAGAAAAAAAAAAAAAAAGAAGAAGAAGAAGGTAGCGGGAGGGGAAGAATGAAGCGGGGGAAATCGGAGGGGTAGACGAACCATGAGAGACGATGGACTCTGAAAAACTAACAGGGTTCTAGAGGGGAGGGGGGTGAGAGGATGGGTTAGCCTGGTGGTGGGTATTGAGGAGGGCACATTCTGCATGGAGCAGTGGGTGTTATGCACAAACAATGAATCATGGAACACTTCCTCTAAAACTAGTGATGTAATGTAAGGGGATTAACATAAGAATAAAAAAAAAAAGAAAAGCAGGACATGTGGAAGAATATAGGAAATCTCTAAGTCAGAGAGAAGGAGAAGAAGAGTTTTCTGAAAGGTAGGATTTAAGTTGGGACTTTGAAAGATGGGTAAGACTTAAAGAGCATGATAAGAGAAAAAACGGACCAAGTAGGTCAGTTAGGTGTCAATCTAAAAAGCAAAAACCACTTGATGTATATCAGGTATGAAGTGTTTAATATAGAAATCAGAGGCTTAGGCAACCAAAGAGAAACCTGGAATCAAAGGTCAAGAAAGCCAACAGCATTAGATGGGGGTGGGGGCGTTCTCACAAACATGGGGGAGAAATCTAACTCATTGAATCTCAATGTCTGGCTGTACCTGTGCTTGGAGAATAATGACTTCTTCCCTTATGCCTTCCCACTCTTGTATTAGTATTTTTCCTTGGCAAACTATCCTGGATCCATTCAGGGAAAGGAATTCTGGGGAAAACATTTCCTGGCTTCGCCTCTATGTTACAGAGGAAGTGATGCTGAGTTGACAGTGAGCAATCAGCACAACGGGCCAGTAAGTGCTGGTAAGTCAAACATCAGTGTGGAGAGACACAGGTCATACTCAAAAAATAGCAAATCTCTACCTTAACTGGATTTTTTTGTGAAAGATAAGAATCGAAAAATTTGTTGGGGCCAGGTGTGTACTTGTTTTCTATGGGAACTAGGAAGAGGAAAACAGCAAAGGAACGAATAGCTGGGAGAGAAACTGCAGAATAATAATTAATAAATATGATTTGGTGATTACTTATGTTGGAGCTGAAACTGGGATTCACACCAAGGATGCTAAGCTACAAGGGCTTTACTTTTCCCCCTAAGGCAGTGTTTTCTAAATTTCTGATTTTTTATCTACCATCTTGAAGATTTGTTTTAAAATCCATGTACCACCCATAGTATTACTTAAATTTTTATTTAAATATCATTATTTTAAATTAATAATTCTGTTACAAGGAGCTTCTCATCGTGTTCAAAAATGGAAGGTGAGTATCACCCAGTAGAATAGAACGTATCAATGCGAATTCTGACTCTGATGGTCAGAAGATTCCTGACACTCAATGTAAATAGAAACTATTTTCTTTCTTAAGATGGGGAAATAAGTGGTAACAACCTGTGACCATTAAGCAAGTTACACCAAGATTTATGCCTCCTTTTCCAAAGACAAATCATACATATATTGTAGCAAGGAAAGAAAACATACACTGTTTGGGGGAAAAAAAATCCTATAAGAAACTTTCCTAATCATAAATTATACTTTCTTGGTTTTTAATATTCATAACAGTGAATAGAAGGTAACTTGCTCCCAGTGAAAACACTGGCTGACACCGTGACTCTTAAAATGAAACCAGAGGGGTGTGTTGGGAGTCACCCAAGCATGTGGATTCTTCCTCCAGAGGGATAAAAAAGGCTCTTGGCTACCATTACCTGATCATGCCCATTTAGCAGGGCTGAGGATTGAGTATCCACCCCACTCTCGCTCAGAGGCCCTGCCAAAGATCGCGGTCATCCCACCTTTGATCAGAGAACTAAAGCAGTCAATCGTGTAGCCATATTGCCCAGCATTGTCTGGGAGAGAGAAAGAAAGGGGGTTAAATACAAAGGGAAAACTTTAACTGGTGTGTGTCTCTTCTCTATGCCCATCTCCCTGAAACTGAAAGAATAAAAGGAGGGCTGAGCTCAGAAAGAGAAGAGAAATCTGAGTTTAAGGAGTCCTAAAATAATTATAAAAACAAAATGATCTTGCTGAATTCGGGCTAGGTATTTTTACCTGTGAAGGTTTTGCCACTGAGATCTGTTCATCCTTTCTTTAAAAAAAAAGGTGATTATCAAGTGTCACGCAAGCATAAGGGCATACCAACATCAAATATGTTGGTCTCCTTGCTGTAATCAAGTGTCTGAAAGAAAATTGTAAAGAAATACTTGGTGAGATGATTCTGCTTAATGTTGTAGGAGGAACATGTTCAATTTTCTTGTTGTTGATCTTGGTGTTCTTGTTTTGAGGGAGAGGTAGGAGATAATTCCAGAAGAAGTAAGAACAATCCCTGGTGTCAGGGAGTTCACTTTAGAAAAAGCTATTACAGAAATACAAGCAGGAAGGAGATAAAAGTCTAACTTATTAGTAATTGAAAACTAGGCTGGATCATCTGAAAAAAGATTTTAGGAAGTGATATGGTAGAAGTAAGACAGAGAGGATCTGAGGATGGCAAAGAGGCTTCCAGATTGGAGGCTATTTTTAAACAATGGTGTTGCCAAGGCAAACTAAGATTACAGGAAACAGCAAATTTTGTTTTGGACAGAGGGGGTTAAGATGCATTTCTGTTGGAGCTGCAGTACCTGTAGAACCCCTTGTGGGATATATCCAGGAGGCAGATGATACACCGAGCTTGGACATGCTCAGATCTAGTGACAGAGATGTGGAAATTAACACTCTGCTGCTTGGTCTCACAGAAGTAACAGAGATGCCCCACAGAGACATAGCAGAGCAAAAACTCAAAACTAAAGGCAGATTTCTTGGTGATACCCTACATGTGAGGAGCTACTGGGAGAAAGAGGAGAGAGGCAGAAGAACAACAGAGGCAGAGGACACCACCACAAACAAAATGGTTAGAAACAAATGGGCTGAAAATCAGTAGCCAGAAAAGAAGGAATAAAGGTTGGTGAGATGCTGAGAAGACAGGGACTAGATCAGAGTTTAATTCCTGCTGTACCTGATTTTTCAACTTGTGGTTCTATGAGCGGTCATGCTTTCTTCTCTTTGTATTTCAAACCCACTGACTGCTCTGGAGGAAGCCCTTTCCCTTCCATCTTCCTCCTGGTTAACTCTGGCTCATCTTCACCCTTGCCCACCCTCTACCCCCACTTGAAGGGCAGCTCTTGCCCTTCCGATGTCCTGTAATAAAAACATGTGCCACCCTCTATCATGCACTCCATTTAATACCCTGTATGACTGATACACTTGTCCATGTTCCCCACAACAATACGAGGGAGCTCTTGGAAGTAAGGATGCTACATCTCCTTCTGAAGGGGGCAATACTTGGCACACTGTAGATGCTTCTAGATCACACACCATGGCCTCTTGATCAGCAATGCAAGAATTTAGCCAGGGGAGACTCGTCTCAAACAGTTTTGATGGTATTAGTTGGAGGTGAAAGAGGACTTAAGCAAACACAATTAGGAAAAATTATAGCTTATCAGTGAAGTGTGTGTAGTGAGTGGACTTGTAAGCTGAGAGCAAAAAAAAATGACTAATTGCTTAATTTTCACTTCTAATGCAGTGTTCCCTGTTTGTTTTTTTTGTTGTTGTTGTTTTTTTTTTTTTTTTGACCACCAGGTCCTGGGAACTTCCCATAATCAGCATATTTCTTCTCTGCCCCTAATTTGAGTTTCCAAATTTTCCTTGGTTCTCTCACTCCTGGCTGGCTGCCCTGAAATATCCCACTGCCTGATGGAACACTGTTTAGCACATACATCAGTGACACTTTTGTCTCCCAGCATGAGGACTGTGAAGAATTTACGCTTTGAAGAACCTCAAAGTGAACTGGAGAGATCAATGGGTCTCACTTCCAAGGAAGTGAATGGGTTTTTTACTTATACGAGTTCGCTGCAAGATTTTTTTTTAAAGATAGCCAGGCAGAGAGCCTCCTAACCATTCTCAGTGGGAACTATAGGATAACCACATAGGACACAAAATATAGATGGTTTAATTCTGTTCTTCTTGAAGGTGACCTAACAATACATTTCAGTAAAAGTTTAGGGACCAAAATTTCCGGTCAGTTTCAGTCATCTCCATTTTTCTGTAAATGTCAGATTTTATGCTGACCCCTAAGAATAAGGTAGCCATGGACTTTCCTTCACTAGTAGCGAAATCTGAAGGAAGTTTAATTAAAAAACATAAATAAATAAATGACAGCATAAAGGACAGAATTTTTCTAACATATTAATTTAGTGGCTGAATATTCTGGTATTTAAAAAAATCAGAGTTTTAAATTTCCTTACAGATTCCATCAACTCTAAAAATCTCAGTGGAGTATCAAGATTTAAAGATTATCATTCACAGGTTTTCTTTCCATTGGAAAGCAATGCTCTCATTGTAGCAAAAACAATGTAGAAAGGATCCCCAGCCTCACCTGTCCCTTCATCCACTTACCCTCAGGTTTCTGAAATGCCAATAGGATCACATTATTCTCCTGCTTACACATTTTCAGGGGGTTCATGTCACCCACAGAATGAGCCAAGTTCTTTTGTGTATTCTATGGGTTTGTTTGTATTTTTATCATCCAACCATTAACTATGGCCTTTCAGCCCCATTTCTGCCAAATATCCCTACCATCTTGATAAATACAGCACACATGAGCAAACACTTTATGCCTCATAATGTAAATCCAAGAATTCTCCATACACACTATGATGGCCTACAAGTCTGCCTCGCACAAGTGTTCCCATTGCCTGGAGGTCACTCCCTACCATTTCTATTTCCTTCCCTCCTTGCTGCACTAACTCCTTCCTCCTTCAAGACGCAGCTCCTATGTCCTTGCATACCCTGTGGGAGGTGTTGAATTAGATCCTTCTCTTTCTTAACACTCTTTGTGCTCCTATGTCCTCCATCACATGCTTCTGTCTCAGCATTTGCCACCCTGGGTTTATTCATGTATCTCTTCTACTAGAAAGACTAGAGGGCCTTAAAAACAGAGACTGTTTATTGGAGTATTCCCATATCCCGAGTGCATAAACCAACACCTGGCATATAGTACCTACTCAACATACATTTACTGAATGATGCATTTATCCACGATAAATGTGTGCCACTGACAGTAATAAATATTTACACAAAGCAGTGACACTTAAGTAAAAGAGCAAGTAACAAAAGAACATTATCTTAAACTCATTTGGCAGGGCCTGGAATTCTATTTCTCTAAAAGCTGCCATGTATCACAAGTGAACCCAGGGTCTTGCGTTTTGGGGGGAGTGCTACAGAGCATCAGTAAATAGCAGGTACTTATTTTTTTAATTGTTATTGAGATAAATTGGTTCTAAATGCTCTGGCCTTATGTGGCTGTACATAATACCACAGACTAACATTTGAATGGCCCTTTAAATAATGCCATTTATCACCACAGGCCTGCAAAACACGAAGCTGAGAATTGCTAGAGGAAACCACGTTGCAGCAAACTTAAAATCTTACAGAATTTTCCTGTTTTCACTTAAAAATATATATTTCACAATAATCTTACAATGGCTTGCACTCAGATGGCAATCTCTAATAGTCTCTGATTTTTATGGCTGGTTTTCTGTGGCATATCTGATGTACAGTGAAGTCTTAAATGCTTGCTTAATAAGAAATTTTAAATACAGATTATGCGATGCCTCCTTGCAACACTTTCTGCTTCATGCCCTTGTTCTGCAGGAGATTTCATTAGCATGTGCCCTGCTCTTGTCCTCCAAGCCCTCATTGCTTCAGACAAGCATGGGCTTAATTGAGAGAAAACCAAGCTGTGAGTGTGACTCAGGTGTGAAGGCTGTTTCTCTCGGC